TCCACTTTACCAACCATGCCATCCTTCTCCAGAATATGTTCCCTTCTGACAACACGAACAAAGTAGGTGAGATGACGTCTGGCCATTCTCGCTTCCAAGGAGCATTCTGGCTACACTTCCTCCAGGACAGATTTGTTAGTTTTTTTAGCAGTCCACGGTACTTTCATCATTCTTCGCCAACACCACGACTCAAAAGTATCAACTTTTCTTCGGTCTTCCTTGTTCATTGTCCAGCTCTCACATGCTTATGATGTGGTTGAAAATACCATGGCTTGGGTCAGGCGGGTCTTCATCTTTAAGGAGACATCTTTGCTCTTCGACACTTGAAAGAGGTCTTTTGTAACAGATTTGCCCAATGCAATACGTGTTTTGATGTCTTGATTGATGCTTCCATTGGCATTGATTGTAGAACCAAGCAATATGAAGTCATTGACAACTTTAATCTTTTCTCCATCTATTGTGATGCTGCTTATTGGTCCAGTTGTGAGGGTTTTTGTTTTTATATTGAGGTGTAATCCATACTGCAGACTGCAATCTTTAATTTTCATCAGTAAGTGCTCCAAGTCATCTATACTTTCAACAAGCAAAGTTGTGTAGTCTGAGTATCTCAGGTTAATTGAGTCTTCCCCCAATCATGATGCCATGTTCTTCTTCATATAGTCCAGCTTCTTGGATTATTTGCTCAGCATACAGATTGAATAAATATGATGAAAGGATACAGTGCTGACACACTCCTTTCCTGATCTTAAACCATGCAATGTCCCCTTGTTTGAATGACAGCCTCCTGGTCTATGTACATGAGCACAATTAAGTGTTCTGGAATTTCCATTCTTCTCAATGTTATTCACAATTTGTTGTCATCTACACAATCGAATGCCTTTGCACAGTAAATAAAACACAAGTAAACATATTTCTGGTATTCTTTGCTTATTCTTCTGGTAGTCCATGGTATATGCAGTGTTCTTTACAAACCCCATAATTCAGAAGCATCAGTTTGTCAGTCTTCCTTATTTGTTGCCCAGCTTTTGCATGCACATGAGGTGATTGAAAATACCATGGCTTGGGTTAGGCACACCTTAGTCCTTACAGTGACTTTAAAAAAAAAAAAAAAAAACCACTTTGTAAGAGGACTTTTGGTGTATTTGCCCAATGCACTACGTCATTTCATTTCTTAACTACTGCTTCCTGGACACTGATTATGGATCCAAGTAAGATTAAATCCTTGACAACTTTAGCCCTTTCTCTGTTTGTCATGCTGCTGCTTATTGATCTAATGTGAGGATTTTTGTTTTCTTTATATTAAAGGTATAATTGACATTGAAGGCTGTAGTCTTTGATCTTCATCAGTAATTGTTTGAAGTCCTCTTGACTTTCAGCAAGCAAGATTGTGCTTATCCTACATATTGTGCAGCTTGTTAATGAGTCTTCCTCCAATCTTTATGCCACGTTCTTCACATGGTCCAGCTTCTCAGATTATTTGCTTTTCATACGGATTTAATAAGTATGGTGAAAAGATACATCCTTGATTTTAATCCATGCAGTATCCTCTTGTTCTACTGAAATGACTGCCTCTTGGTCTATGTACAGGTTCAACTTCAGCATATTTAAATATTCTGGAATTCCCATCCTTTGTAATGTTACCCATAAATTGGTAAGATTCACAAGAGCAAAGTCTTTTTCTGATTCTTGACATTTTGTTATTGTTTGATCATTTTATTGACTGTCATTTTACCATATAACCAATAAATCAGAAACATATCAATTATTTAACACACACCCACACACATACACATACATACACATATTTCACAATGCATTTTCAAAAGACCGCTTTCCAAGTTCGATGTAATACTGGTTCCTTGAACCCTCCAGGGGGGGTAACAATTCAAATTGTATTCTAAGTAAATGATATTCTCTCCAAAATACGGCGTCTATGATAACCCCTGAAGTTGGGCAGTACTGTGACCCTAGATTGAGCAAAGATTTTTTAAATCATGAGGTGGGCTTCAAAGCATTTCCGTCTTAGTTCACAGATTTGCTTTCTCAAGGGCTCGAGAGAAGGTGTAGTTATCACAGCTTATAATAGGATATTGTGCCTGGAAATGTCTTATACTGTATTATGTACCCATATATGCACATACGAACTCATAGATCCTCTCAAACATGGACCTTCTCTTAACTACACTTGTAATACTTGGCTGTTTCATGTTGATGTTGGTCTTTATTTAGAACGAATTTAGCTCATCCACTGGCATATTGACAAATTGCTTTTCACAGAATGAGATTTTGATTAAGTTTCAGTTAGTAACTTAATGTTTGGCTAATTGACCAAAAGTCATTTGAGGGTATGAATCATCATCCTAGAACATTACAAAATTCTTATGGCTACATAGACTCTGTTAGACTCTTCACATTTAAAACATCCTTAGCCAGAGTTAATAAGAGAATTCTAGAGAGGATATTTTGTATACAATAAATTTGTTTTATTTCAGTATTAGTTTTAGTGATTAGAAAAGTAATCACATTTTCTCTCAACTCTCGAATGATTAGATTTTTGTAAATATGTTGATACATTATTTTAATATATTTCACAATAAAAAAGTACAAATACATAATATATAAACCCTATTCTAATGTTGATATTCTATTAGCTTGTTAAATTATATTTAAAAAAAGACCAAACTCACTGCCATCTAGTCATTTCTGACCTATAGTGACCCTCATTGGGTTTCTGAGGCTGTAAATGTTTACTGAAGTAGATCACCCAGTCTTCCTTCCACGGAGCAGCTGGGGGGTTTGAAATGCTGACCTTCCTGTTAGCACTCAAGTCCCTTATCCACTATATTACCAGAGCTCCAGTAGCGTCATGTCTAAGGCACTTGACTGCTAACCAGAAGGCTGGTGGTTCAAACCCACCAGCCACTCCTCGGAAGGAAGGTTGGGCAATCTACTTCTGTAGTGATACTGCCTCGGAAACCCAAGGAGGGGTCGCTATGAGTCGGGTCCGACTTGATGGCACATAACAACAACGACAACAGCAACTAGAGCTCCTTAAATTATATTGAAAAGCTATTATCTCAAATGTATATTGCATCAAATTAATGGCATTGTCTCTGTATTTCTGTTAAAAATGTCTTAATAGCCAAATCAAGAAACGAATGATGATAGATATATAGTATGTAGACTATAATATAACCCTAGAAAAAAGAATGAATCAGGTTAATAAAATTTACCCAACTAGATTTTGGCTAATATGGATTCTAATTCAACATCATAACCTGGTTATATGAATTTTCTTGGATATTGTGGGATAAGAATAAAATTAAAAGCTTTTATTTGTTAATCTTGGTGACTAATTCTTGTGCATTTTTGGCCAAAATAATTGTATTAATAAAAAATTTGTAATAATTAAAAGAGTTACTAAATTGTTTACTCTGTATACACTGCATATTTTGGGTCTTATCTGTAGTTCTGTGAATCTTTTCCACATATTTAAATTAATGAGCTTATGCAGTTATTTTTTTTCTCCTGCAGAATACATGGAGTATTAATTACTGGCTTTTTGAAGTCTCTTGCTTACATTTCTTTAAGTTCTTATTTGAACTTGCTTTTAGGTTGACTGATATAAATTGTTTATAGCCTGAATTACTGTCAAATTAAAGAAAATCATACTTGGAAAGCCAGAGGTATATATTATTCTATAAGAGACATTTTATATTCTGGTAATGTTTTGTTACTAACCTCAGCTTACCCACTGAATTTTAACTACTTTGCCCCTCCCTATTCCCCTTATTACTACCGGTGAGTTAATAAGAAATGAGCTATTGTGTTAATGTTTTTAGGTACTGTGACTAAAATGTCCACTAGATAAGCACCGTTTTATTGATAAAGTTCAGCATTTAGTGGATCATTTAAGTTTCATTTATATACTTATTTTTCTGCTTGTCTTTGAAAATTCTGTTCTTATCACAAGATTTAATACAAAATCTTTTAGCAGATTTATAGTTTTATCAGACTTAATTAGAAAAATAGTGCTTTAGATTAAAAGCTTTACAAAATTTTGTCACTCTCCAGTAAAATTTTCTGTAGATACATATTAAAATAAGAATTTTTTGAACAGATATATAATAGTATATCTGTTTTTAGACCATTAATAGAATATAATCTGTACATTCTAATAGAAGTGCTCTCCCTCCCCCCAGTTTGTTGACCTGGAGTAAGAAATATATTTGGAATTAGTTTTTTTTTACCATATCTATGTTTCCCACAAGTCATATTGTGAAAACATTTCTCTTGTGTTCTGAAGCAGTTATAATTAGTGACATAGAGAAAGTGGTAGAGTGTATAGAAGGTGAAACTGGAGGAGAGAGAGTTTAGAGAATTGGGTGTAGAAGAGAGGACATCAAGGGAAACAGGTGAATTATCCTTTGTAAAAATAAGAAATGAAGTACAACGAATCTATCAGTAACAAGACTTTTTTGTTACTCACATGTGAATACAGTTCCATTTTGGGCTAATGTGTTAAATTTCTTAAACTTGGTATTAGAAAGTTTTACAAGATTACAGTGCATGAGATATTTGGATTCCTTTAATGCTAACGAGAGACCTTTATAATTTCTTTTAAATAAACAGTTCTGTTGCTATGGCTCTGCCTCTAGACATTAGGAGAAAATTATTTGCAGTCTAAATATTAAGAGTGAACCATAGCCTTAAGTCATTTGAACTCACTGCTTCTAATGTGGTGAGCCACTAAAGGTACTGTGTATAATTTGGTCTGAGTTGCTTGGTTCTTGTTTTTAAATGGTCGCAGTGTGTTAGGGGGTTTTGTTTGTTTTGCTTGTTCTTGTTTTTAAACAGCAGTGCCATAATATAAAGCATCTTAAAAAGCATAGTCTAGGTAAGATCCGTATCTATCTTCCATTACTCATTTATTTTATTTCTTCTTCTTTTTCTTTTGTTTATTGTCATACTAATGTTGACTCTTCATTTCTTTCCTACAGCATGGATTTGTGGTATCATTTCTATCACTGTCATTAGCCTGCTTTCCTTGCTAGGCGTGATCTTGGTTCCCATCATTAACCAAGGATGCTTCAAATTCCTTCTCACATTCCTTGTTGCACTAGCTGTAGGAACAATGAGTGGAGATGCCCTTCTTCATCTACTGCCCCATGTAAGAAATCTTTTTCAATCTTTAAAGTAGTAAAATGAAAATATTGAGCTCAAAGGGTTTTTCATTAGCAACCTGTAACACACGTATTTAGTATTTGTGTTTAAGTACTTATAGGATGTTTTTTTGTTTCCTTACAGGATGAAGTTGTCCCCCCCCCCCCCATATTCACAGTTTTAATAGCAACATTTTTTAAAATCAATTGTATCATTAGGTTCTTAAATAGTACCAAATACTGGTTATTTATGTCACACCAGTCTTCAAAAAGTAATAACATTTGCTATGTTAGCAGTTCTGAAATGAATATTTTACTTAAAAGTCAATGAATGATATATCTTTTTATCTATATGGTATATCAAGAAAGCCTTTACAAGAAATGTGTAGGGAGTCTTGTAATAATTATGCATATAGCAATATTCTCTACATCTTTATTTGAATAGGAATAGACAAATATGCAGTCAGACCTCTGTATCCATGAGTACTGTATCTGCACATTCAATCAACCATTGACCAAAAATTCTGAGGGAGGGGGAAGCAGCTGAGTGGTCAAAGCAATCCCTCAAAGGCTAAGAGGGAGCCTAAAGTGGTATTTACATGGTCTGTACGTTGTATTAGGTATTAGAAGTAATCTAGAGGTGATTTAAAGTATATAGGTTATATGTAATACTACACCATTTTATATCAGGGATTTAAGTATCCACAGGGGTCTTGGAGCCAGTCCCCCGTGGATACCCAGGTAAACTGTACTCAGTTGAACTACTTTAGGCCCTAGCTCTTTTTACCTGTGGGCATTTATCTTTCACCTGTATACTAATTTTCTTCCCCTTGGGAACAATTCTAATGATACTATCGTAAGCCCAAACTCATAGTGCCCTGTTTATTAGTCTTTTAAAACATTTCTCTCACAGCCAAGAATACTTGATTTAGGGTTAGTGTTTTTACTTTACATTATGAAAACAACAGGACTTTTTTCCCCCCCAAATATAAAATTTCAGTATTGAATTGTTTTTAATGCCATCACCTCTCCTCTTTTCAAGTGTAGGAGGCAGGATTGTATTCGTGTGCTGTGTGTACCCCTTTTACACTGTTGGTTGACATTCTAGATCTAGTATCTAAAACAATGTGCATGATGTTGCATTTTATTATTTATTAATTAATGGATCTTAAGACAGTGAATATTAATTTTTCTTCATTTTCCCCTTTCTTTCCACCCTTTGCTATTTTACCAGTCATAAGCAACAACAATAGTCTCTTTAGGAATTGGGCCTGATAAGAGCAGTTGAAGTGGGAGCAGTGTTTAAATGTTGTTTGACTCATGTTTACTTAAGAAGGGTTAATTTAATATAACTTACATCTCTTTGGCCCTTCTTACCACCTTTGAGAAGTTTAGAAACTACTTCTGTTGCCCACTAGCAAATGGAGAAGGAATTCAAATAAATCTTGCAAGGAAAGAAAAACTGAAGTCTAGTTCTCTGATGTTAATATTGTGAAACTTTAATGATCACAGTGTTAAAAAATTTAGTTTCTAGGCATTTATCTTTGTTAAAGCTTTAAAATGTAGAAAATTACATTAAGTATAATTGTGAAAATTATTTGAAGAATATGCTAATATCTACATTATATATAGATGTAACATCTCATCACCTCCTGGAAATAATTTTTGAACAGAATCTATAGAATGTAAAGAGAGAGTAGGGAATCACAAGTGATAATTTGCTGATGAATTAGTGTGAGTGTTTATTTTTACTAAATCTCAGGCCCTTAAATGTATCGTATTCATTCCAGTTTACAAAGGCCTTATCATTCACTGTAGTATGTGTCTTAATTCTATGGGTATTGAGTTTGTGGTCTTTGTTTTAAAGTTAACATGGAATATAGTACTTTCTGGGCCACTGAGTAAAACAAATGAAATGGAAGACTACTTATCTTTAAATGGGACAATATTTAGGAAAGCCCTTAAGAAATTAAAATATATTTTTCTTGTGTCCTCCAGGAGATTATAATCTCAAATTTTAAAATGTCATTTCAATTACTTGTTTAAAATGTTTCCTTCTTATTAATAGTCTCAGGGTGGACATGATCACAGTCATCAACATGCACATGGGCATGGACATTCTCATGGGCATGAATCTAAGAAGTTTTTGGAAGAATATGATGCTGTGTTGAAAGGACTTGTCGCTCTAGGAGGCATTTACTTGCTGTTTATTATTGAACACTGCATTAGAATGTTTAAGCATTACAAACAACAAAGAGTAAGTGTTTCTTAATACTTTATTCATCTGCTAATATATAAAATTCAGAGCAAGAACCCTCTTTCTCTGGCCACATGTTTGTCTTACTTTGGTCTTAGTGTGTCACCTTCACAGCAAAACTGACTGGGGCTTTGTTTCTTTGTGTTAGTTCAGTTAGCTTGATATTTACCAAGATACAGCAATGTTGATTCAGTTCATCTGTGTTCTGTCTTACCTGATTGACTTAAATAAGCTGGAAAAGTTATGGGCCAATTTATGCCTATTATAAAAGTACAAAAAAAAATGTATAAACAAAGGCAAGTTTAATCAATCTTTAACTATTTTCACTATCAATGATTTTCATTTTAATATTTTTTTAATGAAAATACTTTAACACATTTCTTTATAAAAATTACATTAAGAATGGTAGAAGATTAAGGAGGCTTTATAGTCAGAGAATAGAATGAAATGAAGGAAAGCATGATTTTTAAGAGTGACTAGGAGCTCTGATAGCATAGTGCCTAAGGCACTTGATTGCTAACTAGAAGGCTGGCGGTTCAAACACACCAGCCACTCCTTGGAAGGAGGGCTGGGCAATCTACTTCTGTAGTGATACTGTCTCAGCAACCCAAGGAAGGGTTGCTATGAGTCGGGGCCTACTCAACGGCAAATAACAACAACATAACCTCTTGGGAGCTCTAGTAGCATAGTGCCTACGGCACTTGACTGCTAGCCAGGAGACTGGCGGTTCAAACCCACTAGCCACTCCTCAGAAGGAAGATGGGGCAATCTATTTCCTTAGTGATACTGCCTTGGAAACCCAAGGAGGGGTCACTATGAGTTGGGTCTGACTCGACAGCACATAACAGCAACAACGACAATAACCTCTTGGGAGATGGTGCTTGGACTACATTGAATACCTAATTATTCAGTATTCTGTGTTTCATGTCTCATTTAAAAGAATTACCCCCAAGAAAGTAAGTTCAGAGCCACTGCCATTCATTTCAGTACATTTTCCTCATTTTAGTACATGTTCCTCCCTGTTCATATCTGCCTCTAAAACTCTAGTTTATCTCAGTAACATGTTTGTGATGTTTCTCACTTATAAGGAAAAGATTAAATTATCTTGAGTATGTTATGTTTAAGAAAGAACATTTAGAGAACGTTTTGAGAAACTTCCTATAAAAAACAAGTTAGTGTTAAAAACTACATTTGTTTGGTTAACTCCAAATAACTTTTTCTCTGCCAACCCCCCTTTAAGAACTCTGGCTAGTTATATAGTCTATATTTAAGATATAATTTTATGATATTTATGCACATACATGTTTTATTTTTCTATGTATATGTTTTGTGTGTTACCATATTTTAATCAGGACATCATCATATTTGATTTCCTTCAGAGGAGAGGGGTGTTAATGAGCTTAGTAAAGTATTATCTGAGGAACGATAAAAGGCACTAAGAAGGTTCTTCTAAGAGAAGCATGAGAGAGACATAATAGTATTTTGTTTTTGAAGGGTCATGTGGAAGCTGAAGTAATAATCCTGGTAGATGAATGAAGAATAGAATATGGTGGGAGGGATGTCAAGGCCAGAAGTACCAGGAAGGAAAAAGAGTGTGCTAAGGAGGTTACTGCAGAATAATTTACAAGAGAGGTGATAGCAGCTTAAACTAGGATCATGATGTAAGGAAGAGGACAAGAGGGCGATTAATAGATTTAGATGGAAAAAAGAAGAGGATTTGACGAGATGTAAGAAATACAAGTAAGAGGGCAAACCAAAAAACAAAACTCACTGCCATCGAGTTGATTCCGACTCATAGTGATCCCTTGTGGGTTTCCAAGGTGGTAGGTAAATCTTTACAGAAGTAGATTTCCCAGTCTTCCTTCCACAGAGTGGCTGGTGGGTTTGAACTGCTAACCTTCTGGTTAGCAGTCAAATAAAAATGCCTTAGGCACTACACCACCAGAGCTCCAATTAAGAGTCCATTTCTGTGAATATCTATTTTAGAACACAATACATTACATATTGAAAAATACATAAGTAGTTTTGGAATTACTGTGAAGCCCTAATTTTCTTCAATCATGTACACTTAACATTAGAGCAACAAATATTAACTATATAATATGTACAAATATTGAAACTGTGGAGTTTACAGATAGGTATAAAATATAGTACATAATTCAAGGAATAGTTCAGGTTTTTTTTTTTTTTTTTTTAATAATTTAGTCTTCATTGTTTGATATCATTTGAACTTAAATTTACTGGCAAAGTTAAATACATTCATTTATTTGTTTGTTTGTTTGTTTGTTTATTTGTCAAAGTAAGCTTATGTAGGAGAATGGAGTCCCCAGAATATGGCAGCTTTTTGGGTAGAATTTGAAATTGTGAGAAATAAAAAATGAAAGAAAAAAAAAAAGGAATCTGACCAGATAAATCAGTGTATCTCCTTTATAATTAATAGGACACAAAGTAATCTAAGACCAAAAAGAATGTGACATTTGTTGAAGGAAAAGAATTATTGATATCTGAATAGAACAGACATTTTAATAGGCTTTCAGTAACTTGGGGATAGTGGGAGTAATCATTTAGTAAGTATTTTGAAAAGTGAACAGTAAAGAACCACAGCAAGTAAGTAAGCAAAACACTACCAAGTACTGGTATTTTCTTCTTTAATTCTAAATCCTTCTCACTGACTTTATGCTATTGTTACTCCTGCCTCCTCTTCTCTCCCCCTACTCCCTTCAACTCATGACTATTATTTCTTCTCTTTAGGACATTCCCCTATTGTTATTATTTTTCACAATACTTTTTATTTACCCAGTTTTCTATTAAGTATTTCTGTGAAACAAACAACCCACACCTTTGTGATTTACAACAATGATTTATTACTTCTCACAGTTTTCTATATCAGTAATTCAGGCAGGATTCAGCTGGGCAGTTCTTCTGCTCCACATGGTACCCTCTAAGGTCACTTGCTCTACTGAATTCAAATTCCACATGGTTGCTAGGCTGGGCTGGGCTGGGCTGGAAGGTCCAAGAATGAGTCATTCCATCTCAGCATCCCAATGCTTCTCCACCTGGCCTTTCTCAGAGTCTATGCTGAGCTTCCTTATAGCTGGTGACTGCTTCCTTTAGCTAAAGCAACAGCTGCCTGACCTCTTAAAGATTAGTCCAGGAAGTGGCACAACAATTGTCCGCATATGTGTTATTACAATTTGCTAATTGTGTTACAGATTTGATACTAACACCAGATATTTATTTTAGGGAAAACAGAAATGGTTTATGAAGCAGAGCACAGAAGAATCAACCATTGGAAGGAAACTTTCCGACCATAAGTTAAATAATACACCAGATACTGACTGGCTTCAGCTCAAGCCTCTTGCTGGTAGACAACATTTATGACTAATGCAAACTTTTAAAGCCTAGAAGTTCAAATATTACTTACAAACTATGCCTGTGTTTGAAATTTCTTGTGTTTATGGCTTCCCTAACTAGTGTTTCTAACTTGTATTGGCATAAATAGGAGTGTCTTAGTTGAAATCTTATTTGTTAGTGTTTTATTGGTTTCAGCCTTATTTATGACTGGAATGCAGAACCAATTAATCATAGGTCAAGAAATATTTTGTACTTCTGCATTACAGGAAAAAAGAATGACTGAATAAAAGGCTTTTTAATTGGCAGATGAGTGTTATCTATTTCTTGACAGTGCAGAAATCTCTATTTCCTTCATGTAGTGACTGATTTCATATGGAAAAAGGAAAATCAGCCTTACTTGATCACATCTCTGTACTTAAACTCTCTGCCCATTCACCTGTATATTCTCTTACCTGATGGGTATAATGAAATAGCTTAAATTCCTCAGGGAAACCTGAAAAGGTTTTCTTCACCTAATTCTTCTACCCTTTCTCTTTGAACTTGTGCTTCCCCTCAGTGTATCAATGATGTTACACAGAAAAGGGGCAGCCTAAATGTAGAACTCTACCCCAAAATACAATTTGGGAAATACTGTCATCTTTATCATATAATAAATAACTTTGGAAAATTTCTTTGGAAACTTAGGTGAGAGTCCAGTCTCTCTCTCTCTCTCTCTCTCTCTCTCTCTCTCTCTTTTTTTTTTTAAATGCCTATGTTTTTATCATTTACATGGACTTCTGAACTTCATTCTAGCAATGATCTCTGACTAGCATTGTGGGGTATGTTGAGCATTGAGGGATGTAGAGAACTCTGGCATCAGATCACTGTATGATATTGGGCCAAGTCATTTACATTTTATATGCCTTTGTTTTCTGAAATGATATGAGAAGGTTAGAATTGGGTAAATTCTTAAGGTACCTTCTTTCACTGAAAAATGGATTTCATTTTGTTAGACTGTAAATTCTGTATAGTAACTTTCCACCCTTTGATTTTCATCAACTCTTCCATGCTGTGCTCCTTCAGTTTCACACTTATCTTCATGCTTTCCAGTGTTTCTCCTCACTTTGCCTGCTACTGATATCATCCTGCTCCCAGTTACCTCAGTTGGACCTCAGATACCCCGTTTGTTTCATGTGTATATATGTGTTTGTTTATTTTTATTGGACTTCAGAAAACATTACTGTATTGGAATGGCTTCTAATTAATTTGAGGGAAATGTATTAAGAGTTTTAAAAGGCATTCTCTTAAATGTTCATTACACAGCTATTTTTCCTGTGTTAAATTGCAAATGTGCATGCATTTACTTGTTGATAAAGCGTATCCTTTGCTATAAATGTAGGAACTGATGACTCGGTTGTTTCTGAAGATCGACTTAATGAAACTGAACTGACAGATTTAGAAGGCCAACAAGAATCCCCTCCTAAAAATTACCTTTGTGTAGAAGAGGAGAAAATCATGGACCGTTCTCACAATGATGGGTTACATGCCATTCGTGAGCATGATCTCCGTGCTGCTGCACATAACCACCTCGAGGAGAGTCAGACTGTGCTGAGGAAACATAATCATCAGTGGCACCACAAACATTCTCACCATTCACATGGCCCTTGTCATTCTGGATCAGATCTCAAAGAAACGGGAATAGCTAATATAGCTTGGATGGTAATCATGGGGGATGGCATCCACAACTTCAGTGATGGGCTAGCAATTGGTAAGTGGACTTGAAGCTTGAGTTTTGATTTGTTGTTCTTTAAGATTTTTTTCTTCTTCTTCCGTGTCTGCTCTAACCTTAGGAGTGAATATGTGAGGTTAAAGTTTATCTGGAGTTTAGTAACTACTGTCATACATTATTCCTGTATTTGGTGTTTCCAAAGGCTGTGCTAATGAGTTTGATAGATTGTAAAGGTGTAATTTCACTGGTTTTTAAGAACTTATAAACAAATCCCTCAATTTGCTTCTTTAATAACTTGATTTCTTACTCAAAGCACAATGCCACCACAATGAAGAGACTGCCTTAACATTCATGTTTTCAAGTATGTTTACACATCCCTGAATGAGAACAAAGTAATTTTAATCATGGGTTTAATTAGTTTTCTCTGTTTTTGAAAAGGTGATGAAAAATTCTATAATGTGAAAAATCCATTGTACCAAGTTGAAATATATTTTATTAGAATCTTGTTAATGTAAACTTACATTACCAATATAGAAGTACGTTAAACTTACTGCTGTTAAGTCACTTTTGACTCATAGAGACCCCCCCTTGGGTTTCCGAGGCGGGATCACTACGGAAGTAGATTGCTCAATCTTCCTTCCGAAGAGTGGTTGGTGGGTTTGAACTGCCAGCCTTCTGGTTAGCAGTCAGATGCCTTAGGCACTACACCACCAGAGCTCCCAGAAGAACATTAGATGTGATCAATAGATGAGTTTATTTGAGATTAAGACTGTTCATCACTAGAAGTAATCTTTCATTTCTTTCAGAGAACAAAGACCATGTTTTTGAATCCACAGTGCTTGTCAGTGCTAAAGGATATGCCTTCTGCTAGTAATTGAATTAAATGTATTTTTACCTCTGAGCTTAATCTCTTAAGTTCATCAGACAAATACTTTGTACTATTTATGCTTTAGACCTAGAAAAGCTTGGGGAAGGATTATAGCTACTTAAATAGCTAAATATAAATACGAAACAGCAAGCAAAATCATAGACTTCCAAGACTTAAAATTGAGCATTGAAAACTGTTTCTATTCCCAAGGTCTTAGTGATTTAAAGTTACATAAATAGGGAAATTAATTTTCTTTTTTGAGTCACTCCCTTTACTACAGTGTGTAAGATCAGTGAGTCATAAACATATTATGTAATTAATTTAGATAGATGAAAGAGACTGAATTTGTAATCCTTAATTAAAATGGACAAAGAGCGCAAATCAGTAAATGCCACTTGATGTCTTTCTTTCCCAGGAGCAGCTTTCAGTGCTGGATTGACTGGAGGCATCAGTACTTCCATAGCTGTCTTCTGTCATGAACTGCCACATGAATTAGGTAATAGAACTTGAAAACTTTTACCACATTCTAAGACCTCTTCAGTTATAAAATGCATCCAAATTTCGTAGATGTTAAAACAAAAAATGACCCATGGCAAGTGTAAAGTGACATGATTGTAAGACATACCCTGATAGTAAACCAGGTCCTCATTGCCTCCACTGTGTTTACCTTGAAGAGTTTCCACAGTCTTTATCTTCTGGTTTCATTTTATTTCTCTGGTTTCATTCTGCTCTAGTCCATCTCATACCTTATTACCAACTCTATCTTCCTAAAATGTAGCTTCCTGATGTGATCAAAACCTTCCAGTAGCTTCGTTTACATACAAAAATAAAGCTGAGATTTCTTAGTCCTACTTTTAATGGGCTTCATATCACCTGGCCTCTACCTGCCTTCCTTTCTAATCTGACTGCAGTACATCCTGTCACATGTTTTCCACTTCACCTAAACACAATTCACCAAACATGCAGTATATATTCCTGAGCCAACTATTCCTTTAGCTGTACCATCGTCCTCCTTGGCTTGTCCTACTCCTTTAATCCTAGTTTATTGTGTTCACAGTCACTTTCTCCAACTTCAGTACCATCCTCAGTACTTCAGTCTTTGGATTACTTCCTTAAAATTATCACTTACTTGCTCTTGATACTTAGTGTATTTCCTTTCTAGATGTTCTGTTTCTTAAACTCTAGATTATTTGTGTGCAGATACTGTGTCCTATGCACTTCCTCTAATTAGTTGTATGATTGATTTTTTAAAACTAATGTTAGGTATCTCTGACACTACTAGAGTTTTACAAACTTCAGTTGTTTTGTTTCCTTGGTTCTGTTTTAAGTGGTGTTAGGAAACCAGACAGTCAGATAATCCAAAAGTCTCTTACTAACATTGAGTAATGTTTTTCAATTTCAAGGAGATAAAATTTTCATAAGGGAATGTAGCTCATAAATAATGCAACTCTAGCTCAGAGAGGTTAAAATGTCCATTTTGCATTTCCTTTCAGATGTATTGTTCTAGATACAAATTCAAAATTAAATTTCATAAATGAGAAAATTTGACACATGCACTGTATAGATTTAGATAATGTTTTATACACATAAGTTTGTTTGTTTGTTTTTTAAACCATTTCATGACCTGAGGGCCATATAGTGCCCACCTATATTTTCCACATCTGGGATTTAGTGGGACTCTCTTACCCCACTTTTAGTGCATGATGCCAGATGGTGAGGGCTTCTATAAATGCTTGAATCTGAAGAAATGGGCATCATCACATCAACTCCAGCACCAGAGACCCCTTGGAGTATATGTGTCCCACTAATTTTATAAAACTCCATGTCGACAAAAAAAAAATCTTTTTTTCATTTCATTCTAAATGCCATTACTGAAAACACTTGGTTTCAAAAAAAAATTAAAAGCAGAAAATAATGCAGTCTTGGAAGGGTGGAGGCTAGAATAAAGAACCTTAAATATATACTTGTTAAAAATGGTCTCAGTAGTTTATGTTGGCAGATAGAACCACAACTATAATTAGCCCTCTGTATCTGTAGATTCTGCATTCATGGATTCAACCAATCAGGGATTGAAAATATTAGGGAGGTGGGGGACACAATTAAGTGGTCAAAGTAATATCTTAAAGGCTAAGAGGGATCATAAAGTGCTATTCACTTTATATTAGGGATAATAAGTTATCTAGAGATGATTTACAGTACTTGGGAGGATGTGTGTAGGTTATATGCAAATACTATGCCATTTTATATAAGGGACTTTAACATCTGCAGAGTTTGGTATACACAGGGGCCTGCAACCAATCCCCCATGGATAGTGAGAGACAACTGTATAGCATTGGGTCATATTAATTTAACAGCTTTGGCAGGCACACCTCAATCATTGTCTTAATGATATCCCTCATCAGCAGGAAGGAAGGATTATTGATTCATCAAATGATAAATAGGTTTACTTGTTCAGTATAAATTTCAACTATGATTTCTTCTTTGACTCATTTTTTAAATGTTTATACAGATTCATGCTGAGAAGGAAGGTGGAGATAAAGATACTTTTGAGAATTTATAATCTAAAACAAAGATTTTGAATGAAATAATGCATCTTGATAAAAAATCATTATACAAAATTGTACTGCTATATACTAGCAGTAAACAACTAGAAATTGAGTATTTTTAAAAGGTATTGTTTGCAATAATACCAAGTTTGAAATAGTTAGGTTAAATCTAATAAGTATAGACTTTGTATGCTGAAAAGTACAAATCACCAATAAAACGAATCAAAAAAGACTTAAATAAATGAAAAGATACACCATGTTCATGGACTGGAAAGGCACATTATTGTTAAGGTATCAATTCTCCATATAGATTTAGTGAAATCTCAATCAAAGTCCCAGCAGGAGTTTTTGTAGAGAAGAGCAAACTTTTTCAAAATTTTACCTAGAAATGGTAAAGAATTCTAATAGCCAGAACAATTTTAAAAAGGGATAACACACTTGATTTCAGGACTTATTGTAGAACCACAGTAATCAAGACAGTTGGTACAGGTGAAAGAGGAGACATAAACAAGTGGTATATAGAGTCTTCACGCATTTGGCAACTTATTTTCAACAAATGGTGCTGGAACAGTTGGATGTTTTTATGAAAATAAACAAAAAACCATTGAGCTATACATTGCATTATAGATAAAATTAATATGAATCATTGATACGAATGGAAAATCTAAAAATATAAAACTACGCAATGATAAATAGGAAAAAAAAAATTTCTGTCCTTTGAGTAGGCAAAATGTTCTTAGATACAACACCAAAAGTGTGATATGTAAAGGAAAAAAATAATAAAATAATCTTCATAAAAATTAAAAACTTGCTCGTGAAACACAACGCAATGAGATGACAAACCACAAACTGGGACAAAATACTTGCAGAACACTATCTGACAAAATGCTTTTAATTCAAAGTATTTAAAACTCAATATAAGAAAGCAAACAGCAATAGAAAAAAAGGCAAGATATGCAGAAAGACTTGACTAAATATACAGATGGCAAGTAAACACATGAGATTTCAGGTGCTAGATGTGTCTTGGGCTGGCAAGGATGTGGTACAACAGGATCTCTCATACATTGCTAATAGAGATGCACGTTCTTATAAAATACACTCACTTGATGGTTCTGCAGTCCTGCTCGTGCATTTAAACTAAAACCCACTGCTGTTGAGTTGATTCCAACTTGTAGCAACCAACCGTATAGGTTATTTACTCAAGAGCAATGAAAACTTAGGGTGACACAAAAACCTGATTATGAATGTACATAGTTCCTAAGGCACTTGACTGCTAACCAGAGGGCTGGCAGTTCAAGCCCACAAGCCACTCCTGAGAAGGAAGATTGGGCAATCTATTTCCATAGTGGTACTGCCTCAGAAACCCAGGGAGGGGTCATTATGAGTTGTATCTGACTCGACAGCAGTGAGTTTGGTTTGTTTTTTTTTTTTTTTTTTTTGGTTTTTATAATATCTGTATTCTTAATTGCCAAAAACTGAAAACCACAAAAATGTCCTTCATCTAGTAGATGGGTAAATAAACTGGTTCATCTACTATATAACAATGGATAGGAGTGATTGATGATACAATCATTAACATAGATTAATCTACATGCATTATAGCAAGTGAAAATAGATTAAAAAGGCAAAATTACAGTGACAGAAAGATCACTAGTTGCTGGGGTAATAGGCCTGGGGGAGTGTTTTGGGATAATGGTTTCATAGTGGTTATGGTTATATATGGTATTTTTCAAAATCATAGGACTCTACATCAAAAAATAATGAATTGTGTATGTAAGTTAAACCTCAGTTTTAAAAGTACTAGATAAAAATAGCCATGAATCTTGATTAATTCTTGCTGTTTGGTGCCTGTACTTCTGTAGTCTCATTTTGGGCTAAATCAGAGCACTTGCTTAGCACAACTAATGGAAGAATTACTGAAAACATGAAGATTTGTGGAGGAAGAAGTTACAGAGCTCTTTCCTTAGAGAAAGCTGAGAATGGCAGACCATAGGCAATTAAACAAATTAAATTCTAGGGCAGAAAAGAGATGAAAGGTGATAGAGAATCCAAGTCCCAGCCAGAGAATTAAGGTAATTTAGATCAGGAATGGAAAACGTGTAAGGAGAATAGTGTTAGATGGCAACTTGGAAGCCACTGCTGGACAGTCTCCTTACTAGTAGTGTGTTAACTTTTCAGAAATGATTTGTAGTGTGTCATAATATTTTTGGAACAGGGATAAATAATGGAGTGTGCCCCTTTCTTCCTGCCTCATGCTAGTCCTCTGTAGTCACATCCATCCTTCCACAATATGGAATCATACTGTGTGTGTCTGTTTTGAAATCCATCTATTTTTTTGCATGTATTTGAATGAGTAAAAAGTAAATTTTATGTGTTAACAGTTATTAAAGATGTCATTTATGTCATTCTTAATTTTGTATTTTGTTGCATTACTTCATTCAGATAAGTGTTTTAAAGTGTGTGGTTTTAAACCTTTCCCATTACTTCTTCATTGCAGGTGACTTTGCAGTTCTTCTTAAAGCAGGAATGACTGTAAAACAAGCGATTGTTTACAACCTCCTTTCTGCCATGATGGCTTACATAGGCATGCTGATAGGCACAGCTGTTGGGCAGTATGCCAATAACATCACACTTTGGATCTTTGCAATTACGGCAGGCATGTTCCTCTATGTAGCCTTGGTGGATATGGTAAGATGTTTTATATTTTTATTGTGAACTAAGCCTGCAAATAGAATAAAAGCAGCCAAAAATGGCAGAAATCTTGGAAGTGGTTTGGAAGCCATGCTATATTAAAAATTTATATATAACCCACTTTAAAGATAAATGATTCTAAATAATGTATCAAGAAAAGACATTTAAATGGAAGTATTTCTTCTTTGGAAACCAGTTGAAATGCTGTAGATTTCTGACCAAGTAATGTTAGCATTCAAAGTCATCATCAGTAGTATTTAGAAATACAATTAACAAAATTAAACTACTTTGAGGATTTTGTAATATTGGTTTGTAGGTATTTGTTATTGTTCACAGAATAGTTCTTTGAGCTACGTTTATGGCCAGGAAATAAATCCTACATCTATTTGGTAAGCCAGTTTTCTGGAAGACATGATCTATTCCAAAGGATTTATATAATTTTCCTTCTCTCTAACATTAGCTAAAAGTTACTTAATTTGAGAACTAATAGCTACCTTTATTTTAATTTCACTTTAATATCCTAAATATCTTATTTAAATATTGTATTAACAGAACTCAGAAATTTGGTTAATTTTTGTTTTGTTTGAAATAGATAATTACATTCATCCTTATAGGAGCTTTCAGATAGTCTCATTTCAAACTTACAAAACCTAAAATTTTAGTCATGAAAGTAATACCTATTCATTATAGAAAGTTTAGGAGCTCTGGTAACATAGTCCCTAAGGCATTTGACTGCTAACCAGAAGGCTGGCGGTTGAAACCCACCAGCCACTCCTCGGAAGGAAGGTTGCGCAATCTACTTCCGTAGTGATACTGCTTCGGAAACCCAAGGAGGGGTCGCTATGAGTCGCGGCTGACTTGATGGCACATAACAACAACATAGAAAGTTTAGAAAAAATAAAAAGAAAATAAATTCTGTTACCTAAAGTACCAAGTGCATTGCCGCTGAGTCATTTCCAACTCATAGTGGCCCCTATTGGGTTTCCAAGGCTGTAAATCTTTGCAGAAGTAGATTGTTTCATCTGCTTCCTGTGGAGCAGCTGGTGAGGTTTGAACTAGCTACCTTTTGCTTAGCATCCCAATGCCTTAACCACAGTGCCACCAGAACTCCTGTTACCTAGAAGTAGCCGTTTCCTCCTTTTCTTCTCACACCTCTACTACCTCATCTCCTATCCTCATGCTCAGCTGATAACCTTGCTTCCTATTTCGTGGAGAACACTCATGCTATCAAGACACCTTTTACAAGTTACCATCGCCATTTCTACTCACCCTGTGTATCTATACCTGTTTAGAAAGATCCCTGTTCTAGCTAAGGCCAGCTCCTTAACAATATGGTCTCTGCTACAACTACTCAATTCTACTGTTACATAGACAGTGCATAAATGATTAGGCTGGGTGGATTCAGCAGTTTGCCAGCCCCTGTCATAAATCGTTAGTTGATTTGATGAGGTAATTTAGTGAAAAGTTTGGACAGGATTAATGGCCTTAGAAACATATAATAAACCGTTATATACAACTTCCATAGATTTGTAAATGGAGTAGATGACTGGCATGTAGTAGTCTTATATGACTCTCAGGAGATTGTTGACTGTACTGCTGCACTGTCAGAGTGTGCTGGTTGGATTAAATGATGTTCTCATTATTTAAGAACTTGAATTACGGTGTTTCTTCCTAGGCAGGCATCATAGACTTAACGCTACATTTCTCCTCTCTAAAATGCAAAACACTGAGATACTGTTGGAAGTAAAACGTGTCTAAGAGAGTAGCAAATCAGTACCATTTTTGTAGACAAGTGATTGCAAACTTGATTTTTGCAGAAACATGAAAGTGAAAACTGTAAGTGGCAATTCTTTTGCAATTTTGATTATGTTTGAGTGGAAAAAAATTATGCTTATAATAATGCAAATGCATTTCATCTTCATTACATCTGGGTTATTTAGAAAATGATTTAATTTTTGTAGTTTGAACCTATGGATTATTCTTTAATAGTACATAGCAGTGCTCATCCTTTAGGAGTTAAACTATCATTAAATGTTTCAAAGCACTATGCCTTTAAAGAATTAAAATTTTTTAAATATTCTGAACCTTATCAATATTAAGAGAATATACAGTGAGGGCAATCTCACAGCATAAGTTAGGACTAGTTATTTTGGATAGCTTTGATAAACTATTTTCTGACTTAGCAAAGTTTTGTCTTAAAGGCATAGAGATGTCTGTTTGGAATTGTCTCTAAATGCCTGCTTATCCTTGCTGTCATTTGCAGTTGGAAATGAGAATTTCAAATAGAAAATAGTGAAGGAATAATCCAGTTTTGAATTAGGTATCCCCAAAAGTAATCCCACTTTCTCAGAAAGTTTAATAGTTACTGTTGTTAGGTGCCATCGAGTCATCTCCAACTCACAGCGACCCTATGTACAGCGGAACAAAAAACTGCCTGGTCTAGTGCCAGCCTCATGATCCTTGCTGTACCTGAGCCCATCATTGCAGCCACTGTGTCAATGTATCTATCAATAAATGTGGGAATTGTGATCTTTTCTGAGAAAAGATTATTGGCAATAAGAAGTTGTATTATGCTTTAGCATAAAGTAAAATGTCACAATAAGGTGAGTGGAATTTGATTAAAAAATGATGACATATATATAGAGAGAGAGAGTGTGTGTGTGTATTTGCTAGGAGGCAAGATGGGAACAGATTTAGTATTTACTTAACACATAGGCAAAGTATAAAATTTCTTTCTCACTGTTTGACTAAAATGTGATGAATAAGATCATTATTTTGTTTTTGTAGTTACATTTTCAAACCAAAAAACCAAACTCACTGCCATCAAGTCGTTCCTGACTCACAGTGACCTGGGTTTCTGAGGTGATATTTCTATGGGAAGTGGCTGGTGGGTTTGAATCGCCAGACTTCTGGTTAGCACTCACATGCCTTAGGCACTGGGCCAGCAGAGCTCCCATTTTTTTAGTCATTAGTTTTCTTAAGTAGGAAAATGTTTTAAAAATATTCAGGCAGAGCATAATACAAAATTGCTTGTTAAGATCTGTTTCTTTTTTCAGCTTCCAGAAATGTTGCATGGTGATGGTGACAATGAAGAACATGGCTTTTGTCCCGTGGGGCAGTTCATTCTGCAGAATTTAGGATTGCTGCTGGGGTTTGCCATCATGCTGGTGATTGCCCTCTATGAAGACAAAATTGTGTTTGACATCCAGTTTTGAACATTCCCAGTAATTACTGTTGATTACAAGAATGTTGCCACGCAGCTTTGCATCTGTTCCTTGTACTGTGTGTACTTTGCTCAAAGAAGTCAGTGGCTTGCACTACTTACAACTTCCATAGGTTTGAGCTTATCCACAAGACTGGTGCTCAGTACTGTTTTTTCTGAGTGAGGGGGTCTTTTAAAAACATAAAGTTTGTGCTAAAGAAAAGAGAAAATGGAACTCTGTGAACCAGTGTTGATGTAGGTTTGATTAAGACTCCTGTTAATAATCATATAAAACACTAAAGTAGTCTCTTTATTAGTAGAAACTTCTGTGGCTATGCAGAAATAGAAATTGAACCAAAAAAAAATCATTTAAACTTTAAAAATATTTTACGTGGACTTTGGGCAGACTTTTTGTTTATGCTTAAGAGTGAATTGTAGTGTCCTTTATTCAGCTACTTATATACATATGGTAATAGGGATCAACTTGACATGAGTTTGAAACCATTAAAATAGACTAGCAATTAGAAGAACGCTCAGGCTGCATTAGAGTGTGGATTTAGCGTTGGGAAAAGCCCTTATTCTTGAATCTAGAGTTACTATTTTTGTATATATTTGCATAGTGTTTAAACCTGCAGCCTAAACTACTGAAAATTGTGATTATATGTTTGTGTGAGCTTCAGTTTAATGAAAGATTCATAATGGTTCTTTGTATTAATATTATACTTGGTGTTTGGGAGTTTTTAAAAACTTTAATTTTGTTTTTGTTGGGTCTTTTGGGGCGGGTGGCGGGGCATGTGGTAAAATGTTTCTTCTTTACCATTGTAACTCCCTAGAGTGTATCCAAAAATGATGAACCCAAACAAGGTCTTAAGTATTCAGTTTCCCTGTTAACAGTACTAACTGGTTAAATGACTGGGAAGTTTCAGTTCTGAATGTATTTATTGCTTTTAGGCTGTGGCTGGCAGAGTAGAATTGTAGAGCAGAAAATCCAACTTTTCCATGTCCACAGTCTGTACATGAAATGTCTGTTAAAAATGGCTACCATGACAACCTCTATTGATACCATGACTATCATGGTACCAAGTGACTTAGAATATACATCTAAATAACAAAGCTGAAATCACTTGATCATTTTGTGCCAAGATATGCTGTTGGTGCCTGATAGAGATTTGAGTCTCTTTAGGTGCCTTGTGTTCCTACCATAATTGTGAAAGATTTGTGAGAAGTGCAAGCCATGTTTATCTGAATTTTAACCTAATAATTTGTAGTACTAGTCAAATGCATGTAGCTTTCTGTTTACATACTGTGCCATATGATCTTCATTTATGCCAGGTGAACTGTATTTGAACTGTGTGCAGCCTGCTTTGTTTTAATCTGCTTGGCAACCAGTATAGCTGCTTTAAAAATCTTATTGTTCAAATACTTAAGAGCCAAACTTCTTCCATTCCATTTAAAATGTTTTCATTTAGTCCTCCTCCTTTCCTGTTAACTCCACAAAACTTTCAGAGCAGCATATGCATCCATGTGTTAATAGGTTATTGCCAGTGTTTCTTCTTTGTGCTGTAAGCAAGGGATTTAGGTGGTGTTATTTCCTTAATTTATGCTTAATATTTGAAAATATTCTTTCTGGCTTTCTCCATGGCCTTCTTGTAACACGTAGGAGTTTTATACATACGTTGTTTTCGGCATTGGGCACTGAATTAGGACAGTCCTCATCTCATTGCTTGGCACTTCAAGCAACCTACCTAAAAGGTGCTGATATTTTATTTAGTACTGCCAACTTCAAGTGATTCAACTGTCTTGTGTTTTAAACCAGATATATTTATACTTTGTTTTGGGGTTTTTATACCCATGGAGGATTCTGCATTCCAGCAACGAATCTGCTTCATTTAAAAAATTTTATGAAAAGCAACAGCTGGAATATAGTCCCAGTCTTAAAATAAATGCCTGATTTAAAGCAAATGGGTTATGCTGAAGTATATAAAGTTTTATATTCTCTCAAAAATGGTATTATCTTTATTTGCTAGAATTTTTTAAACCTTTTAAGAGGGCTGTAACAGTTGCTGCTAGTATTTTGTTAGGGTTCCACCAGTGTTTCGTTTTCACATCATTCTAATGTATAGTTTCAAGTCTTAATAGACAATCTGAATTCCACTACATTTCTGTTTGGCTCCAACATTCCATTTAGCTTGACCAGTCTAATTTAACATGTGTTTGTTGGAGGTCATTAATGTTACTTGTACATTGCTGTCACTGTGTGACATCCATATGAGTTTTGGTGTATATCACATTGCATTCAATCAGCTGTGATTATGCTTAGAAATACTGTAGTAACTAGATGCAGTGTGAATTTTTCCATTACCAGTAAGTCAGTGGCTTAAATGTGATTATGGTTCTGCAAGGTGATACTTGCTAAAATATCTAAACTTTTTTTCTGTTGTAACTGAATCATTTTTTAAAAAAATTTATAAAGCTAGAAATGATCAAATGCTATTTTTTTTTTCTTTTCATCGTCAACAGTGGTGTGTCATTTTATGTATGTTCCTAATGGTTATGGAACTCTCCCAAAATAAAGTTATTCAAAAAGAGCAAACATACCAATGTGCTTTCTTTAGTCTTTATTTCAGAACATTTATTTACACTGAAGTATGAATCATTTGAGATTTAGGCTACATTTGCACATAAATAGATTCATAATTAAGTATAATTCTAGTCAAATTAAAGCAAAAATGTTTAAAAAATAAAATGTGCTCTTCTACTCAACCATCTAAGAAGAAACAGGGACAGAGACATCTCATTATGAGTTAAGTTGACACAACAGTGCCACACCTCGTCCGATCCAGTGCTCCTTGGGTTGGTCAGACGGAAGAGCCATGGCGATCACAAAGTTTGTGGAATGGCCAGTGGTGGACAATGTGCCTCTCCGCTCACTTGTCTTATATAGTGGAGCAACATAACTTGGTCGTGTTGGTATATCTAACCTCTTACAGGGCTTTAACCACATCTAGAAGAAAAGGTATAAAACCTCTTAAAGCAAGGCTGTTATATGTTCCATTTAACCTATATTTGAGCCTACTATATTGCCAGAGTAAGGTCAGATAAATTACACCTGCAAATTTCTGTGGCCCAAATTTTCTTTCAGCAGTGCTGCCATTGTGTAACTCATTTTATCTCTCAGCTATCTTCAGAACTGTTTTGGAAACTGATAAAAATAAGTATGTCATTTTCACCTACTCTGTCAAGCCGTATTACCCAACTATTTATCATCACCTCTCCACCATACTTATGTGCAGATGACTGTTTCCACTTAGAACCATGAAAAATCAGATATATTTTCAAAGGACAGAACTGTCACCATTATTCCTAAAAAGCATGTGCCTTTATAAATTGATGACCAGTTGTCCCAAAAAATTCTGAAGGAATTTTATCAATGGCTATATAGATTTCACCCTGTCTATTTTAGGGGGGCTCTGATAGCATAGTGACTAAAGCATTTGACTGCTAACCAGAAGGCTGGCAGTTCAAACCCACCAGCCGCTCCTCGGAAGGAAGGTTGAGCGATCTACTTTCATAGTGACGCCGCCTTGGAGACCCAAGGAGTGTTCGCTATGAGTTGAATGAATCTGACTCAACGGCAGCGAGTTTGATTTTTTTTGGTTTGGCCATTTTAGGCAATAGAAATATGTATAGTATGCTATTTGTTTAAAATGTCACATTCCTTTATAGCTATGTAATAAACCCATATTCTTTTTAGAGTCACTAGCCAACACCCTATAATGTTAAGTGTACGTGTAACTTATTGGTGAACCTCGCTTAATTTCAAAAATGGGTGGCTTTTAAGGAAGACTGATCTCTGACTAAAGAATAAACCTCTAATAAAGATGCACTATAATGCTTTGTTCTAGAATTTATTCTAATTTATTATTATTTTCTTATAATAAGCAATCCTTGAGGTGTTGAGAGCTCTGGTGGCATAGTGCCTAAGGCATTTGACAGTTAACCACAAGGCTGGCGGTTCAAACCCACCAGCCACTCCTTGGAAAGAAGGTTGGGCAATCTACTTCTGTAGTGATACTGCCTCAGAAACCCAAGGAGGGGTCGCTGTGAGTCGGGTCCGACTTGATGGCAGTGGGTGAGGTGATAAACTTTGACAGCCTATTTGTTAAGAGCCATCTTTTAAGTTTCTCAGGTCAAAACAAACTGAAGGAGCAAATAAAAATGAAGGTCCTTATTTCTCCCACATAACTGTAGAATCCAGACTCTTTATCATAAAAAAAAACCATTACCCACTGCCACTGAGTCGATTCCAAGTCACAGCAATCCCCCTTGGAATTCCAAGGCTATCAATCTTTATGGAAGCAGATTGCCTCATCTTCCTCCTGCAGAGCAGCTGACCTGGCTAGCAGCCAAGTGCCTTTATCATAGGTGGATCCACAGCAAATACAGCTACCATATAAGGACTCATAGGAGCTCTGGTAGCATAGTGGCTAAAGCACTTGACTGGTAACCAGAAGGCTGGCGGTTCAAACCCACCAGCCACTCCTCGGAAGGAAGGTTGGGCAGTCCTACTTCTGTAGTGATACTGCCTCGGAAACCCAAGGAGGGGTCGCTATGAGTTGGGGCTGATTTGAAGGCACATAACAACAACAACAACATAAGGACTCATAACACTCGAAAATTGGATGTATTTTATTTCCACCAAAGAATGGGTTTTCCTAATGAGATTTATTTATTTTGTTAAATTCCTTACTAGTGGACTTAGAAGAATCATTACACATTTATGAACAAATGGTTTCTGCTATTGAGTGCAAGTTCCCATGGGAAAGAAAAACTGCTCGTTCCCAAAGTCGTGAAATTGCAAACATTTGCCCTTGTGACTTTCAATTTAGGTCTCCCATTTGCACCTTTTTTCTGCTCACAGTATCTGGGTGTATGTAGTAGGTTCTCCTAATTGGCAGGTAGTCAGCTCGCCCCTCACTCTATCTATTGTAGTTGACCTGAAAGATTTTTGCC